TCACCTTGCCCACTGATGCAGGCTGGTGAGTCCGCTGCCTTTATAGGAGTGGACGACGTTCCCGTCATGCTTCCGTAGTATATGGTGGCGATGCCGTCGCTGACAGGCACTTCCCAGTCGAGGATGGTCCTATCAGGATCCGGTCCGGCGATACACGTGTTGATACATTATGGCGGGATGCGCAGATCAACAGCACCTGTTCAAGGAACAGAAGACGAGTTACAGGTGACATGACTTCTGCGATGCCACCATGCCCTGTACCTGAGGAGAAGTGGCGCGCATGTCATCGACCCCTTTCACCAGTGTGGTCGCTAGTCCTGCCGTATCTTCACTCAAGTCATCGTTTAAACCGCCTGAAATTACCAAGAGCTTTCATCTATCAGCTGTAGTTTTGAGTTTCGTGCTCCCTTGCCTCATGACTGCTTCCAGCTTGTGCCTGGGAACGTCCCTACTGCAACCCTCTTGTCACCTCTTACCCTCTCGTTGATTACTTCTGCGCATCAATTTAAATTCGAGTCCCTGGTGATTATCACATGCTGTGACTTTTCAGCTGGAGTGCCCTGCACCTGGGGGTTAGTTGAACCTGTGACGCCGGCTGCTTTATCCCCTCCCAGTCCCACCACTACTTCGCTGAAGCTGGGCCTTGCGACAAGTGAACCGGCTGAACCTGTTTTTTTCCAAACTTGCTTGCTCTTTCTTCTCCGCCATTTTGGTTGCCGGTGCCCTACTGTTCTTTCCGTCGGCCACTCGTTTGTTCACCTTGGCTAGTGCTTTCTCGCCGGACTTCAGCCTTTCTCCCATTGCCGTCGCCAACGCAGTCTCCAGCTTGGTGATTCTCAATAGCAGTTCACTCTGGGCAACCATCGTTTTCTCCATTTTTTTCTCTACGTCACAATGCCTATACTTCACGTCAGCCTCCTCTCCATTTGCTTCTGCACTTGGGTCCATTTTCAAACTCACCCTGGATCCTGAACACTTTACAGCCTTTTTAACCATGTCTTTATGACACCAATTTTCCCTATGACTTGTCTCACTCGATAATTACAAAACACAATCCCTGTCCTATGAGAAAGAGAAAGTCCAAGTTCTACTACAAAAATTTATATAGTCAAGAGTCCGACGGAATCCCGTCTGGTCGGGGACATAGTGCAAAATAGCAAAAACAAAAACGCCGACCAAGGTGAAATACACAAAACTTAAAAAGACGTTTCGGCTCCGCACAAGGGAGCCGAAACGTCTTTGTGAACAAGGCTCCCGTGTGTGGAGCCGAAACGTCTTTTCAAGTTTTGTGTATTTCACCTTGGTCAGCATTTTTGTTTTTGTTATTTTGCACTACAAAAATTTGCGTGTTCAATGTACATGCTGCTCCCCCACAGGATGGCAAGAAAAAAACACAAAGAAACAAACACCTATGCACAATCTAGTAAATACCTGGTGACTGACCCCCAGAAAAGCCGTACAATGTAATAAGTGCTACAAAGATATTAACTGCTGCCTTATTAACTATAAAGGCAAGCTCAAAACATGCGAAACCATTTATCTGCTCAGTCGATTGGGATTTGATTGATTGATATGTGGGGTTTAACGTCCCAAAACCACTATATGATTATGAGAGACGCCGTAGTGGAGGGCTCCGGATATTTAGACCACCTGGGGTTCTTTAACGTGCACCCAAATCTGAGCACACGGGCCTACAACATTTCCGCCTCCATCGGAAATGCAGCCGCCGCAGCCGGGATTCGAACCCGTGCCCTGCGGGTCAGCAGCCGAGTACCTTAGCCACTAGACCACCGCGGCGGGGCCAGTCGATTGGGAGCGATCAAAAACACGTCCATCCACCGTGCCAGTCCGCACACGTACAACTCACCTATCTCGAAGCGCTGCCTTCTTCTGAGGTTGTTGTACATTACTGAGTTCTTACTCACCGTCAATGTATTTATTTATTCAGAGTACCATGCTACAAACGCTTGTTTTTTATTTAAAAGAAAGCGCTGAATAAAAGTTTAGCAAAGGCGGCACTTTCGGCACCGATATTTCATGCTTTCCTGATAACAACATACATCACAATCGCCAGATTTTGCACATTAACAATAAAAAAAGCTTATTAGACTATGTCTTGAAAGTTCGTTGAAAATACAGGCATATATTATTTATCTGGCGCAGTGATCTATTAAGGTCGAGAAAAATGGAAGTGGCTATATTTGAATATCGCTACCGCGTTTCATCTCTCAATGTTTACTTGCATAGAGCAGGTACAGCTACTTTTCCTCTGTGTCTAATATGATGATGAGGAAACCATTTGTCATTACTTTCTATCTTGTCGCCAGTTCAGGTGATCGAGGAAGATATTCATAGTTCACCTCTTCGAAATCTGGGTCTAGAAATATCAGAATGAGGTGCTCTTTTTTTTCGGCGCCCGTACTCTGAGATACAATCACAGGGATCATATCTTCGCAATCGAGGTATTATCATACACTGTAAAAGAATATCTAGGTAAATTTTTCATCTTTATAATATCACAGCACTAATAATTCGTACTGAAATTTGCTATATTAGTTAGTTGTAGCTTATATTGGTAGTATACTAAAGAAAATACTGAAAAAGTTCACCTTCTACTCGGCCAATTCCCTACATTGGGTATGAGTCATCAAACAAAGCGATGAAGAAGAGGAAAATCATCTCATATATTATTGGCCGATCCCCCACAGTGGGTATGAGCCACAAGTGAAGGGCAACAAGAACAAGCGACAGCGTGCCTTCATCGGTCGTCAGACGCCCGTAAGAGCATATTCCTTTAAGAGAGTCCACTTGATCCCGCTGACGACTTGAGGTACGCGCGATGGTGTAGTAATGTTCAAGAAAGCGTGCATTTATTCCTTGGAGGATGCCAAGATCCTAGTTTCAAAAGGGAATCCCAATATCGCAGATCAGAATTGACACGCAGTGAAACCAACGTTCATGATTAGTCGTATAAAAGTGAAGCTATTCATAGCACGTACGCGTTAATTTCCAGAATTCTTCAACGCTGTGTCTTTATGTCGTATATGTGCTGGGTTCCAAACGCATGACTGTTTCGCACGTCACGCAAAGGTGAGCGAGCTTGCTTATGAGTCAACTCACTCGAACTTACTCAGACTCAGATGAATTCAGATCACTCAGTGTGAGTGAGTTCACGTGAGTAATATTCTGGTGAGCTCTAGTGCGGTTGAGTCCGCTTGAAAAAAAGTTTTGTAGGTGCGAGTCTGAGTGAGTCCGGCTCAGGAAAGCTTCGTGAGTCTCAGTCCGAGTAAGTTCAAAGTGCAAAATATATTTCTTGAGTGAATCTGACAAAGTCAGCTATTGTTTGCCGACCTAAGTTTCTATTTATTCGTCTTTAGCACTACTATGAGCTCTACAAGCATTCACGTTTTTACCCATCACTGCTGACACGTATTTCGAAGCAGTATCGTTTAAACACCATTCGTATATTTATTGATACGAATCCTGAATTGCGTAAGAGGGTACTTTTTATACCCCCATCACCACTATAACTTCTAGGGAAGTTCTTAATAAATCTCTCCTTTGTTTTCATTCGTTTTAGGAAAAATGACTTTCATGGTTTGCAATCACACATACGTCGTATTAGAAGGTACTATAGTAAAAGGCACCGAAACGTGCACCGATTACGTGATATATTGGTATTAGTGAGCACTTACATCATTATCAAAAAAGCTAATTTCGACAAATGAACTCATGAGTACAACTTACTCGGACTCACTCAGACTCAGATCGATTCATGGGTGTGAGTCTGAGAGAGCCCGGATGAGTAATATTTTGGTAAGTATTAGTTCAAGTGAGTCTGGTCAAAGTTAATTTTCGTGAGTGCTAGTGCCAGTGAGTCTGGCTCAGGAAAATGTTGGTGAGTCCGAGGCTCAGTGAGCCTCTCAAGATACACTGTATGAAAGAGTCTTAGCGACCACCACATTTTTTGCCGACCTGGCGTTAGACGCAGATGTAGGCGAATATGTGTTGGAACATGCTTCATTTAGCACTAAATCCTACAGCATCTTTAGTTTTCTGTTATGGGAAAAGTATGCCATTCAAAAGTCCCTGCGTAAAGTGCAACTATGTCTACAGCTCTCAATACACTAGCGTTAAAGTATATGCAAGACTTATGTGCACAGCTTGCTGCTATCTAGCTTCTACGTTTTTAGCTTTATGAACGGAGGCACCTCTTCAAGAAAATCCTCGTTATAGCGCATGTGCTTTGAGAAGGCAGAAAACCTGATGTCCGCAGCATTGAACTATGGGACACACACTTGCCGAACAGGGCATTCGGTTCCTTGAATATGTCACTTGAGAAAAATTTAGTGCTATTGATAGACGAAAAACTGCAACAAGATAATAAAATTATAACTTTAGGGTATAACGTTGCAAAACCAGAATATGGTTATGCGAAACTCCCTAGTGGAGAGCACCGGAAATTTTGATGAGACTACCCGGGTTTTTTACCTTGCACTCAAACCTAAGCATACGGGCTTAAACTATTTTTACCTCTATAACAAATGCGGGTCATGGCCGGGATTTGATCGCACGACCTGCGGTTCAGAAGTCGAAACGGTAGGCTGCAATTCTGGTCGTTAAGGAAGGCAGAAAACCTGAAGAGAAGCTTTATATTACTATGTATAAGAAAGGCAGAAAAGGATTGAGAAGCTTTATATTACTATTGTAAAATTGTTTTTTGTTTTAAAAAATGGGGTAGCGCTCAAATTCGTTACTTGTGTGCGTGTGAGTTTAATGCGGAATATCTTTTTTTTCCGAATGAGTAGAATAATCTGTGCGAATGTATCTTACATTCCTTAACAGCTGCGAATTACGGCTGTTTTGTACGCAGTAACATCTGAAGCAAGAGGCTACATTAAACAACTTGTTCGTCTGCGCTTGATCTGATGTGTGTCGTGTGTCGTTCCTAAAATTACGCATTTATACCAACTTACTACGAATAACTTGACCGCAGAAACATGGCATCACCCGACCGTTCTAGCCAGAAACAGCAAGCCCTGTCTTCATTTTACAACAAGTTTCTGACGTGCCTGGGTGCCACCTCTCCGATCCTGCTGTGTCCCCTTCTCTTCGAAGGCAGCAAGGTGCGCGAAGCGACACTTTCACAAGGAGAAATAGCAGACAATACGCCGTCCTTTCACGCCATTCAAGTAGAATGAAAGTAACATGATCGGCGAAAGAACAACATGGGACATGACACTTAGTAGTCGTCAATTCCTTTCCGGTCATATGTGGTAAAAAGTATGCATGCCAAACAGGCAGATTCATGGATTATCGCTTTCGAGAACGCAACTTTAAGATGAAAAAACTTACTTCGTCAAATAACGTCACTATGCATTTTGCTCCCTGCGGTTGCAAGTTTGTTCAAACGGGTGTATCCGCTGGTTTGAAAATCTGACCAGCTCACGAAAGAAATCATTGAAGTGGGGGTGCTAAGAAGTGGAGAGTCTCTTAGTTGCCCATCAACCTTTTTGTCAGATGAGAAAATCCTATATTAATCACGTAACCGCGAGTATGATTTGCTGGTGGATTGGATTGTCTGCTCCTCTTTCCCTTATTTGCTGAAATACTGAAAGACAGAAGGTGATCGTCTCCGTTTAGATAACTATCGGTCTATTTCACTAACGTATTCTTGACGTAAATAATTGAACATGTTATTGCAAAAATACCTGAATGTGTTTTCTGACGACAAAGTTTTCACCAGCTCTCAACACGGTCGCGAAAAAAAGATATTTTACAGTCAGTCAGGTATAATTACTGTCATTCACACTTTTGCTTGTGCTAATGTCCACATTGATCAAATTAATTTAACTTCTCTGGACTTTAGCGAGAATTTCGAGAAGGTATACCTTATGCCAAACTAATAGTTAAGCTAAAACAATATAATATTTCTGAATTGCATGTTTCTGCGATAGCTGAATACTTCAGAAATCGCGAACCATTCGTGGATATAGGTGGACACCGCTCGGCCTGTCTGCCAGTCTCTTCTGGGGTACCGCAGGGAAGTGTATCGAAACCTTGGTTCTTCCTCCAGTACGTCAATGACATTGTTGATGTTGCTAAACTGACTGTCCAAATGAGGCTATTCTCAGACAACTGTGTGATGTTTAAAGGAGAACTGACATCAAATTTCAAGATCAAGATGTGCTTATCATTCGATCGCTTGGTATGCATATGTCTTGGCCAATTTTGAATTGTATCCGTCGCGTGGAAGTTATTTTAATTCGATTTCAAACAACGTAGAAAAGCCAAGGAGGAAAAAAAACGGAAAATAGACTGCCCTGTGACAACGACACTAGTGCTACGTGTTCAATGTGATACATTCCACAAATACCATCATGAATGACGATACGCTATTGTCAATGACGTCGACGATCTCAGTGTGTTTGGAGTCGACTCCCGGCCGTGCTCTCACTAATGGCTCTCCTTGCTGTGTTGAAGCGTGCGTGCGATTCATCGTCTCGCATTGACTTATTTGATATGTGCTCCACAGCGTGAGTACGATCATTCAGAGTGACAATACGTGCCAGAGTGTCGGGGAACCGCTGCGCAGTGAGAATATGCAAGTCGAGGCGCGGAAAAAGCGGAAATTGCGTGGCGTTTCATGCCTTTTCAAGCCACAAACCTCGACGCAGCCGGTGGGTTGACTTCGTACGCGCCGATGGACAGACGGACTGGACGCCTAAGAGTAATAGCCGCATTTGCTCGCTTCACTTCACGCCGAGCTGCTCCAGGTTAAATCCTGTGTTGGCGAACGAGATGGGTTTCACTGCCACAACGAGGCCCCTTCTCGAAGCCGGGGCTAAAGGGAGAGGGGAAGCGCGAGTTTCGCTACCTAACCTAGCCAGCGGAAAACGCATGGAGGGGCTTTAGTCTTCATTATCAGAGACACAGCTAGAATGACTGCCCGTGTGCTCCTAGCAGACGAAATGCCAGTGTGCGTGACGTCACGGTTTTTTGTGAAAGCAGTAGCAGCTGTGCAGTGGCCTCAGCGTGGCTGTGAGGTAGCGCTGACAGCACTCCAATATGGCGGGCTTTCGACGCATTGTGAACCCTGTTCGATAGCGGATATATAAATCAATATTACAGATACGCATTCGAACCTCAGATGCACTTTAGGTCACGAATCACTACCAGGAGGCCGATAGCTACTCGCTGACGCAACAATCTTGACATGATCAAATTTGATGTCAGTGCTCCTTAAAAGAAGTCACCTGCGTTAGTGAACAAAATGACTTGAATGAAACCCTCAGTTGAAGTTTGCAATGGTTCTACCATTGAGAGATGAGTTTCAATGTAGAAAGAAGTGTTTTTTTACCAATTTCCTGAAAAAAAACATCCATATATATAATTATTGATTGGGCTCCTCTCTACCTAAAGAAGCGTCTAACTATAAATATTTAGGTGTCACAATTTGCAACAACCTCTCCTAAACATCAATGTGCAAGTCATATGTTCCTCTCCCTTCCGAAAACTGTGCTTTCCTAAATACAAACTTAAACATGCTGAGGCCTCTGTTAAAGTTCTCGCGTATTATTCTTTAATTAGGCCGAAGCTCGAGTACGCTTTCATTGTATGGGAACCATACACAAAATATAACATAAAAAGTCTTGAGCGAACCCAATGACAAGCTATCCGATTTGTTTAAAATAGGTTTTCTACTTTCGGATCAACGACTGAACTGATGAGGTGGAATGATATTTGCACTCTTGAATCACGTCGGAAAGAAACTGTGACTTGACGGTTTTTCACAGTTACTTGCTAACGAACTCGAACTCAATCCGGCAGCATATTTATGTCCACTATTCAGGAGGCCTACTCGCCAACATCACCCGAATGCTTTAACCCCTATTTTTTGGGAACTCACCAAGTCATTTTGTTCCGCGCACTATTAATGATTGGAACAAGCAACCAATGTAAATACTATCCTTTATTTTGCACAGTCGTATTGTGTAGGGTGGGTTAATTAAAAACGTTTTTTATTTCAGGTATTTATGCTAAGGGCTGTATATTTAACTAACAAGATTGATTGACTTTTTTTATGTTCTGCCAGACGTGCATGAACTTCTTGTCTGCAGTACGTATTAAATAAATAAACAAACAAACAAATTATAAATGAAAATGCATTACATTACATGGTTTTGTATATACACGTGATCACGTGAAACAGATGTTAGTCAACGCTTTGTCTCGTTTGTTCCCACACCATTCATGACAATCTTCTCGGCACTGCCTGGCAAGTGCACTACCAAGCTAGCCCATCAGTCCAGGCTTTGGTGTTCTTGCTGTCTGCTCAGTGCCTTGAATATATTATCCGGGAGGCACGACTGAATACGAAGCAAGGATAGTCGTTTCTGGATTCCGGAAATATAGATACGTGGAGTTCTACGTCCCAGAACTACGGTATAATTATGAGGGAAGGGACGTCGTAGCGTAGGGCTCCGTCAATTTTGATCATCTGGTGTTCTTTTACGTGCATCGAAACCGCACAGTACAAGAGCCTCTACGATCTCGCCTCCATCGTAATGCGACCACCGCAACAGGGATCAAAACCCTCACTTCCGTGTCAGCAGCCGAGAACCATAGTTCTTGATCCAACGTGGCGGCCGTAATCCAGAAAAAGAACTTAAACGGAAGTGTCATTGCTGCTTGTCAGACGACCTTGAGTCTCTGTTTTGAAGCCGTTGCGATGTTCTAGCGAGAAAAACATAGACATCGAAAGAAAGATTTTGGACCCTGGTGGCAGAAACAAACACCTGTACGAAAGTCAATATATCCACCATGTTGCAGCGCTTTTATACATGCAACCTTGTATAAACTGACAGTAATAATTTGTGTAGCACTTCATTTCGTTTACACTAAACTGATTTGCTGTAATACAAAAGCATTGCCTGTTAGAGAAAAAAGAAGGAAAAGACGTTTCCAGTTTTAAATTTCTTTTTGAAATGCAGTGCCCATGACTTCAAGCGTACACATGTAGAACAGTTTTATGTTTTTGAACACAGGTAGGCCTACGTCCTCATTATGGTTAAAATTATAGCGACGTCCGCACGTAACTTCCGCCATAAGCGCTGAGGGCTGCGATGTGCGCCAACAAAACGGTGTTGTGAGACGCCATAAGCGATAGTTATAGAGCGAGAACAGAACGACGACACAGGGACAAGAAGGACACGAAGGACACGAGCGCCATTAGCGTTGTGAGACGCCATAAGCGTTGTGAGACGCCATAAGCGCTGAGGGCTGCGATGTGCGCCAGCAAACAAACCTAATTTGTGAGACGCGACTCACATCCAACCGCGACGCAGCTCGTCGGCATACCGTTTTTTTTTCTCGTTGCTTCACTGAGGACACCAAATGCAAAATTGAAAACTCAGCAGAAACTGCGTTAGACAGAGCGTCTTTTGCCTACCAAGACAGCGCCACCGCATTTTCGTGACGTAAGTCCGGTGGAATTTGTCTATAAGGCGTGTCAGCTATGCATGTGCGGATATTACCTTAGGAAAGCTTAGGGGTAGGCTCGCTTCTTCGTAGAAAGGATTGATTTGCTGGGTAGTGGGTATGTCGCATTTTCACATGCCGTAGCTACAATGGGCTCTATGAAGGCCGCTTCGGAAGCTGTGAGTTCTGCGCAGGCCTGGCGTTTTGCGCGCAATATTTCGAACAAAAAACGAACTGCAATGTTTCTGAAAACAAAGCTACATCTTTTTATTAGTCGAATTTTTCGGACTATTGAGTCGAGCAGATTTACTTAATATATTTGATATGAAATAGAGACTCGATGCGAGAACTTGGGGGCTTCGGTCATAACATTTTGAGCAAGTTCATTTTCCCTACGTTTCGTACAGTTATGAGGAACTTCTGATTAAATATTCGGTTCATCGCTTCGTCATATGATTGCTGGTTGGCAGTATTTTGAAGCACGTTGAAGTTATGTCCGTCAATCAGTATAGGCATACAGTGTGAAAGCATGCTCAACCATACCACCAAATGAACTAATGGCCATGACAAGTGGTAATTTTGAGAGGGCATGCTTTATGCCAAAATTGTTAAACTAGTGAAGGCTCTAATATGTCTACAACATTTATACAGAGGCGACTGAAACGCGTGAGCAGCACGAAGTACTGCTGTTCGCACTTGTTTGCATGGAGAACTCCAGTGCATTTCAAATGGCGTCAATTTGAGTAACGGAGCGCATAGATACGACATAGTTCATGTTACTCTCTACTGGGAGATTACCACGAGCAATTCGTATTGTTGTGCTAGTGCATAAGCGCACATCGGGCATTTCAACTCGATGGAGCATTCGCAACCTGTATTTCTTATCTCTACTTTTCACAACCCCACCACTCCCTCTTTTGGTCCATTGATTTCAAAATGAAGCAGTTATTTAATTTATAGTAGATGAATAAATGAATCATTGTTGTTTACTACGCTCAAAAACTCAGTGAACATGACGTTGTGGTGATGAGCGCATTCGATTCCAGCTGCTGGCAAATCATGCCGATGAAGGTTCCTGCAGTTGTCAATAAACTCATGGGGTCTTTCACTACGGCCAACCCCATTACCAGATCAAGGTAGTGAAGCAGGCCCGCTAAATGTCCAACTCAATTGCAGTCATTAAAACACTCGCTTCTTGTGCAGGAGTCGCGCTGTGGATTCTGCATATCAACGGTGTCTATCCTGCTGCTCGCCGAAACCCTCCCGGCGCCCATTACTGCATTGCTACCGCTCCTTCTATTCACCGATCTGGGTCTCGCCGACGATGCATGCCTGCATATGTCCGCGTTTTCGGTACGTCTTGCGCAAGTATGCTTTTACTAGGTAAGCATACCGAATCGCTTTCCGTGAAAAATCGTGTGTGCTTTCCTGTATGTAACGTAACAGCTGATGGAAGTATGAACTAGGGGCCACGTGGTATACTACACGGGGACACAGAAGAGAAGCACGACAGACACGTACACGAAAGGAAAATATTTATGTAAAAAAGGTTAAAACGATAAAGCTTGACTACATATAATGGGATATGATCACACGTTACCTTGCGAAAAAAATTCTTTCGTCGACAAATAGACAGGTGACGTACAAATGCATAATGAACTTTCTTGCGCAATATGGGCGGCTTCTATGATGCCTCGAGCACGCTGGTTCTGATTTGTTCCGTTTATTGTGGTTTATTCAAACAGGTGGGTGCATCCGCAGCAACGCCAATGAACAGCTAAAGAACCTTTACCATTGCGCATATTATTGCACTCACGAAGACGGTCACTTTCACGCCCTACTATCTGGCCTACATGCATCCCCTGTGTCAAAGTGGACTCATGACTAGTGATAGTGCAATTCGTAAGGCCACGAAAACAAACAAACGAAACTCTGGCGTGCACTCAAAGCTAATGTGAAACAATCATTCTAAAGAAACACACACAGGGTGCGCGAAACAGTTTTCACAAAAAAAAAATGACGCCTTATTCACCAAGTGAATAATGAAGAAGGAACTTGCTGCGGAGACTAAATCTGGTAAACTGTGAATCCTCCGTACATCCACTCAACCACCATTCATAGACATGCCCTATAAGGCACAGCTAAGGTATTAAAATGTTAAACACCTACAAATAATAATAATAATAATAATAATAATAATAATAATAATAATAATAATAATAATAATAATAATAATAATAATAATAATAATAATAATAATAATAATAATAATAATAATAATAATAATAATAATAATAATAATAATAATAATAATAATTACTATTAATAATAATATTAATATTATTAATGATACTAATATTATAAAGATGATTAGTTGCTGTGCCTACCCCCCCCCTACTCCACGAAAATCCGTGAATTTAACCAGAATTCTCAAGCGCCTCGTGCCTTGGAACGGTGCCAACTATGGGCGCGCCAATGAACGCCGCTCGCGTCGGTTGCGTCTCGCGTCGGTGCTTGCATTTTGCTAGTGTAGCGTCCCTTACCAAGCGTGCCCTTTTATGCAAGAGAGACGTGGGCATCACGTTCTATAGCGATCCCATCATTTTCCCCAGAGGGAGCGTGGCTACGCCATTCTGTGAATATGCAAATATGTATGTACATATAAGAGAAAAAAAGAAAAGAAAGCAGGTCAGAAGAAACTTTTTCTTGAACTCAACACCAGGGATTCTAAACTGCGAGCCTTATATCGCAGCGGAACGCGTTAGTCAAATCATCTAGGCAGCATATGTTCTCCAGCATCGTAAAAGCTTATTATTTATCTACACCCTTTTCCTTCAGTGGTACGCAAAGCACTCAGTGTTATAGAAACAGAGTTATATAAATGAATCACGACAAGAGGACACAAACATAACGCTTACTAACAAGCATATTTTATTGCATTTGCACATCAATATATATATATATATATATATATATATATATATATATATATATATAGGAAAAAACACAATCAAAAAGTCACAACTTTGCCGCAAAGGCGAAGCAAAGAACATGATAGCAACAATTTGAAAGGTCACGCGCCGAATGGAAAGCAGATCAAAACGTGCCCCGCGTTTCTCGCGCACAAGTTACGCACGAAACGTACTCACAGGTACGGATGCACACGAATAAGCGTCTCATTCGTTACTTCGCTGAGTCTAAAAGCACATGCTTTACGCCAATGGAGACTGCAACGATTGCAGTGACATTTGTGCGCCCGATAACTACAGCAGAATCGTTCCACGCCTAGCCCGAGGCCAGCCAAGGCGTACGATCTTCCCTTCCTCGCCACCGCGAGATAAGGGCGCGCAAGGGAGCGTCGCTTGCCTTCTCTAAGCTGGACAAAGTATGCGTAGGAGATTAGAGTGGGCGCCGCTGCGCGATGTGGCGTCTTGCGATCATTCCGCAATCTTTCTGGTATTGCCGAAAACAAAGCATCGGTAAGTGGTAGATGTAAATAGCTTGCCGTTCGAACGGTGAGCAACGTTTTCCGGGGTGGCTCAATGGTTAACGCCTCGCTTTCACGACTCGGAGGTCCCTCGTTTGATTCTACGCGCCGGAGGACTTTTTTTCTGGATTATTTTCATACTTGCGTTTTCATACATATACGGTGCATGACGTCGACGCCGACAGCAAAATCCAGCCGAGAGTGTCCGTATGATTGCTATCGCCAGAATACATATTGGGGAAGAAGATATCGCTGAAACAATGCAAAATCACGTTTTGAAAGATACATAAATTTATTTCTGCGATGCCTTAGCTGAGCTACGCTGACACAGCAATTTCTCCTTTTCTGGATGCATGAAGCCTCAAAGAGTTTATGTTTGCGTTGCTCTATATAAGTCCGTAGTATTTAACAATGTTTAAAAGCTGGCTCGAAATCAAAGTTCGTCTTGTGACCTACAATGTGATCGCTCGCAGACCCTTTTTGCGACCATGCATGCATGTTCTCGTAACCTCTCATTGACACATCGGCCGGTTTGGCTGATGAAGCACCATTCGCAAGATAGTGTAACCTTATAAACAGTGTTCCCTCGGCATCAAACATATCATTGCGCGTGCGTGCTTCTTTTCGCAAAGAGCTTTTGCTTGTTCACCAATCACCTTCTTGCAGGATTGGATCCTAAATGACTTGGCTGTGAGCCTTAGTTCGTCAAACATTCCAGTTTCTCGCTGCCGAATTCATCGCTCCGCCTTTGAGATGTAACTCTGGCGTTCGTTTTTTTATTTTCGCGCCGCAGGTAATAATATGACATGTGTCGATGACTGGAGTTACGAACAATTACACCCACTATATATGCACTATGCGACCGGCCTATGGTAATTGTTCATTCATACGCGCAAGCCCTAATTATTCTGTGGTTACCAGTTTACATGTAACATGGCGTATATTTCGTACTAACAAATTCAATGAAGAAAAGTGAGGGAGACTAGTGTGTTACGAACGCACTAAATATAGGGGAGCCAATGAATGTTTGCTTGCTTCTCAGAAAGCTAGGTTGTCTGTAGCGTCACTGAGCGCAGCAGTTACCGTTGTTGGAAGCTTCAAATATATTGCGAAATAGAGAAGTCAGTGAATTCTCTCTCCCCTCACAACGTCCCGTAAGTTAAATCTGTGCATTTTAAAATTGAAGGTCACCACTCAGCTTGCCTTCCTTGCGCAGAAAACCCTTCTGATGGTATTAGGAGAAGTGATGATGGTGTTCCTCTTGTGCTTGACGAGCGTGTACCAGCGCGTTTCACTGCTGCTCCTGGAGGCATTCGGTGCTCGACTGCATGTGGTGGCGCTGATCTGTATGACCGCCGCACTGCTGACACCGTTCATTGTCCACGACACACTCGCCGCCCTGCTCGTACTCTCGCTCGTCAGGAGGCTCGTCGCCGACTACATGAGTGAAGGCGTCCAGGTGAGTCCATGTGGATTTACTCATTCATTCACTCACTCACTCACTCACTCACTCACTCACTCACTCATCAACTGACACTCCCTATTTCACCCAGTCATTGACTAACTCAATCAATCACTCGCTCACTCACTCTCCTTATCTCACACACACACTAACTCACTCACTCACCCCCTCTTCACCCGCACACGCACCATAGCAGTAACTTATATGAGACACACTGATTGCGAGTCCAGACAAAGCCTCAGACAGATTTGTTTGGCGTTCATTGCATGAACTTTAGACTTTGTCAGCAAGTAGCATATCAATCATGCTTTATATACAAGGTGTTTTTAAGCAAATGTTTTCTCAGAAAACTATACTAGTTAGCCACTTGCCGTCTTCACAGAGAATGTTTAGGCTGAGGCGGAAAGATCTAACCATCAATTAGATCACTCGAAAGGAATAATAATTATCAAAAATATCTTGAATAACGTTAAATTATATTTTAGGGTGGTTTTTAGGGTGGTTAAAAAATAAAAAGGTAATGTCATAATCAATATAGTGAGGATAACTGAGGTGACGGAGGAGTTCTACAGAGAGCTGGATGAAAACCCAAACAACCTGGATGATATCGTAAAAAGCAATGGTAGCCCAGAGAAGTCTAACATCCTAACATTAATGACAGGGGAAGTAAGGAAACTCTAGAAGGAATGCAAAGAGGCAAAATCGCTGGTGCGAATAAGGTAACAACGGACCTATTAAAAGATTGCGGATAAATTTTGTTACAAAACTGGTCACCTTGTATACGAAGTGTCTCTTGACGGGAATGGTACCAGAATCTTGGGAGAATGCCAAAACCGCCATAATTAATAAGAAAACAGAAGTCAAGAAACGAAAACTTACAGGCCGATCAGCTTATTGTTCGTTGTCTACAAACTATTTAAAAGTAATAGCTAATCGAAATAATGCAATATTAGAGTTCACCAATAAAGGTACCAAGGAGAATTACGTGAAGGCTACTTCACAATCGACCATCTTCATACTATTAATCAGCTAATCAAGAAATGTGCGGAATACAACCAAACCATGTATATAGCCTCTATAGATTACCAGAAGGCGTTTAACTTAGTCGAGACATCAGCAGTTATGCAGGCACTACGAAATCGAGGCATAGACTAACCCTGTATAGGAATACTGAAAGAAAATCTACAGCGAATCCAGTGCCACCATAGTTTTGCATAAAGAAAGCGACATATTCCCAATAAAGAATGGTGTAAGGCAGGTAAACACTATCTCTTCAATGCTATTCACCGCGTATTTACAAAGGTTTACAGGGCTCTACATTGACAAGAGTTAGGGAGAAGAGTTAACGGAGACTATCTTAGTAACTTTCAGTTCGCTGATGACACTTTCTTGATGAATAAATCAGGGTGCGTATTAAAGCTCATGATTACTGAACTGGACACAGAAAGTGGAAGAGTTGGTCTAAAACTTCATCTGCACGAAACTAAAGTATTGTGCAAGAGTCTCGGCAGAAAACGGCACTTTGCGTTGGGTGGAGAGACGCTGGAAGTTGTGAAGGAATATGTCTACTTAGGACAGGTAGTAACCGCGGAGCCAAACCATGAGAGCTAAATAACTAGAAGAATAGGGATGGGGTGGATTCCATTCGGCAAGCATTCTCAAATCATGAATGGTAACCAACCACTAACCCTCACGAGAAAAGTCTATAACAGCTGCACCTTGCCGGTGCTTACCAATGAAACTTACTTGGAGCTTACCTGGAGCTTACTGGGGTTCACATGAAGGCTTACAAAGAGGGTTCAGCTTAGATTGAGGATCGCAGCGAAGGATGGAAAGAAAAATGATAGGTGTAACTTTAGGACACAAGAAGAGAGCAAAGTGGGTCAAGGAACAAACCGGGTAAATGATATCATAGTTGAAATCGGGAAAAAGAAATGAACATGGGCCGGACGCGTAGCACGTAAGGAGGACAAACACTGCTAATTAAGCGTAACTGACTGGATTTCCAGAGGCAAATGTACGAAGGGCCGACAGAAAGTGAGGTGGGTCAGTTAGATTAAAAATATTTCAGGTAAAACGTGGCAGAGGAAAGCGGGGGACATGATTGATTGGCGGATGATGGTTAAAGGCCTCCTTTGCCCTGCAAAGGAAGCTTTTAACCATCAGGCGTAGTCAGGCAGATGGCGTAGTCAGGCAGATGATGATAAGAATGATTATCATGAAGTTCATACTGTAACAAGTTTAACAACCTCACGACAAGGATGTTCTGTTTACATGATTTAATGAGGGCGAACTTGTGCCCAAGGTCAAAGGAATAACACAATAGTTAGGAAAAAAGAACCAAAGGTCCGTAGTCCTCGTTTGCCTCTGCCTAGAGCACTGTCGATTCTTCTTCACGCACGATGGTCGCTCCGTAGAAGCTCATTCACATGCTGGGCCGGCTCGTACATTCTGGCTGGCTTCATCTGTCACAGCGGTGCCGTCACTGTTCCTCTCTGTTAACGACATCTGCATTATACTGTTCGTTAACAATTCCTCGTAATACTATGGCTAAGTTGTTCTACATCAAAAATATAACCAACCCAGCTGTTGAAAATCGAAGGCGTTGCACGCAGCTTCAGAAATCCAGTCCCATTTCTCAACCGCGACGCCGCAGAAACCAAAACTGGACGCACCAGGTGTGCCGAAACGGCCGTCCCTGTGCTGCATCACGCGCAAACCTCACATTACGTAATTCGAATGCTGGCGTGTCGAGCATAAACCTCACCGCTCGAGGAACTTGTCATCCTTGCAGAGCGTGTCGACCATTGGTTTTTTTCATGTAATGAGCGTTTTTTACTGAGTATTTGTATTTTACCTCGTGGAAGGTGTCACGCTTTAATATTTGGGCACAAGCCTTTAATGTCTCGTAGTCGTGATGGCCGGTGCTCGGTCCCTTGGCACGGGGCCAGCATCGGCGTCTTTCCCTCTGGCAGCAAGATAAATGAGCTTTATGGCTGCTGGAACACGCATGTCGTCTCCACGATGAGCAATGTGCGAGAATACGCATGCGAAACGAAGGCAGATTAGTCACGTATCTCGCGTAGAAAAGTCGAGTATTTGGGGAGTGTTTATGCTACACAACAATAATCATCTACTTCCAGTACTTTCCAAGTGCTATCAACACGGTTCTGGTAGTTCGCGGTCGCGGATGGCGCGTGCGTTATAAGTGTGACATAGCATTCCCACAGGAAAGTGGCCGGTGCCGGGTGTTCAAATAAGAAAATGCGAGCAAGTCAAATAACCATGATTATTGTTTAGCAGAGCTACTCCCCGAATACCTAATTTTTTTTCCTAGATTGTAAAGAGAAGTTGGCGTGAGATGCGGCACAGTGGCCCCTCTTTCGGTGCACCCGGCGTGCTCAGTTTCGTTTTATGCGGCATCGCGGTCTGGAAATGCAACGCTTGATCTCTGAAACTACGAGCGATGAGCGATATTGTAGATTCTTGAAAGCTTGGCTGGCCATATTTGTTGACGTAAAACGAATTCGCCCTATGTACAACCAGCTTCAAATGGATGATAAAATATTCAATTGAAATAGTTTTGTAACTATTCAATTCCTAATGATGTAGTTAGTTGCAAAATCTTTTCACCGGCCTCGAGTTAGGCTTTGAAGACAAGTGCCTAAGATACTTTTTAACAATATATATATATATATATATATATATATATATATATGTATATATATATATATATTGTAAAGAAGAGGAAGTACTCCGGCGCAGAGGCAGCAGCATCGAGTGTGCAGCAGCGGCTCGAGCTCGGAAATTGCGGCTGGTGCATCGCCTTCCAAGCCTTCCAAGCGTCAACCTTTCTGCTTAATAAATCTCCTTTATAATTGGTGGAGCCGTGCCGGGTACCGTCCCTTACACCTTCCCGCTACCATCCTGGAACTCCGTTCTCGACGGCTACCTTCTGCTATGCCGGACGCCGATCAGCAGACGCTTCCATCTCTTCCGGCCACCTGTCCAGGCAGTGTTCCTCAGCGGGAGCCTCCAATCTTCAGTGGAACAGATGACAACGACGTTGAAGAGTGGCTCTCGACTTTCGAACGGGTGAGCGCTTTAAACAGATGGACGGACGCGGACAAGTTGACACGCGTTTCGTTCTATCTCGCGGGTGTAGCCAGCCTTTGGCTTAGAAGCCACCAGGCAGACGTCCGAACGTGGCCGCAATTTAAAACGTCGATTGTAGCAGTCTTCGATCGACCTGCCGTCCGAAAACTTCGTGCCGAGCAGCGTTTACGCACACGCGCACAAGAAACGGGTGAAACCTTCACAAGTTACATTGAGGACGTCGTCGATTTGTGCAGACGCGTGAACGCAGAAATGACGGAAGCTGAAAAATGTAAGCACATCCTCAAAGGAATTGACGACGACGCTTTTCAAATGCTCTTGGCAAAAAGCCCGACCACTGTTAACGACGTAATTAGCCTCTGCCAAAGCTACGATGAATTGCGGAAGCAGCGAGCTCTGACAAGACGTCCTCCAGCGCACGATTTGGCATCGCTGTCTAGTGTGATCAGTGGTCATGACCACGCGTCACTAATAGCCGAAATAAAAGCATTTGTCCGCGAAGAAGTTGCACGACAGCTGTCCTTGGTGCCTTTCACACCAGAAGCTACCACAACGTTACCATCGTCTCTACGTGACGTCATTCAAGGAGAGGTCGCCGAGGCCTTACCAGCTGCTCGCGAGCCTAATCTTGTGGCTGCTCCTCTCACCTACGCCGCGGCTGCAGCCATGCCAACTCGCAAGGCGCCTGCGCCTCCGTTACAGCCTCGCGCGAGCTATCCCCCAGCTCCAGTTCACTGGACCAGCACTAACACCGCCAACCCGTGGCGCACCCTCGATAATCGCCCGATATGTTACGCTTGTCGATACCCCGGACACGTCGCAAGGTATTGCCGCCGCCGGACGCATATTACCAATGAAAACCGCCGTGAGCTTTTCTTCCCGCTTGACTCCAACGCGCGATACGGTCCCTCCACTCCAATGCCAGCCCGCTACCAGGACGACCACCGCCCTCGGCCGGGACGTCTTCGCTCGCCCTCTCCACGCCGCCGCTCGCCTTCTCCTATGCGTCGACGGCCCGCACCTAACGAGGAGGAAAACTAGACGACGCAGTTCCTGAGGCAAGAACTGCGCAAGTTTCGGTTTGCCCAAGTCCTCATTTGTCACCTACCAATGTTATTGATGTGTTCGTCGAAAATATCCCTACTGTCGCTCTTGTAGATACCGGTGCAGCTGTTTCGGTTATAGATGCGGGATTTTGTCGCTCAATTCGTAAGGTTACGACGCCTTTCTCCGGATTATCGCTTCGAACAGCCAGTGCTCAACCTGTTCAACCGACCGCAGTATGTACAGCCCGCGTGACAATTCAGGACGTTCTGTATACGATAGAGTTCGTGGTTCTTTCATCATGCTCCCATAATATTATTTTGGGATGGGACTTTTTGTCGCGTCATAATGCTGTAATCGACTGTGCTAGGGCTGAGGTCGAATTTTGCTCACTGGATGACCAAGCGTCCGTCGACACCCAGTTTGCAGCTAAACTTGTCGTTAGCAATGACACCTACATCCCTCCATGCTCTTTTGCGTTCGTGCCAGTTTCATGCAGCGCCATATCCGACGGCACGGTGTTCTTCACACCATCTCCAATATTCGTCGCCCGAAGAGCCCTCCCCCTGCCTTTTGCTGCTCTCGATCTTGTAGAAGGGTCAACCACAATGCCAATTTATAATCATGAGTCGTCGTCTTTATCCCTACTTTGTCACGAGTGCCTTGGCCACGTCGAGACAATCAGTTCTTCCAGAATTATATCCGTCCCCGATGAGGTGCCTTCTACCTCCGTCTGTGAACTGGCTGTCGTCTCAGCGCCTGACTCAACGTCGGCAAACATATTTCAACCATTCATCGCTGCAGATTTGACATCTTCGCAGCGTTCACAACTCCTCACCATTCTTGAGAGCTACCGCCACTCTTTCGACGTCGAACAAACATCTCTCGGCCGTGCCTTAACAGTAGAACACCACATCGACACTGGGTCCCACTCACCGCTGCGACAACGACCATATCGCGTGTCCGCTACAGAACGCCGCGTCATTGCTGACCAAGTAGATGACATGCTTCGCAGAGGCGTCATTCGACCTTCACAGAGCCCATGGGCGTCTCCGGTGGTTCTCGTCAAAAAGAAAGACGGTTCTATTCGTTTCTGTGTCGATTTCCGGCGATTGAACAAGATCACGCTGAAGGATGTCTATCCACTACCGCGCATTGACGATGCTTTGGACAGTTTGCAGGGTGCCGAGTTCTTTTCCTCGTTAGACTTGCGGTCAGGCTACTGGCAGGTGCCTATGGCGGAGGCCGATCGCCCCAAAACCGCTTTTGTCACGCCAGACGGCTTATATGAATTCACCGTCATGCCCTTCGGACTTTGCAATGCACCTGCAACGTTCGAACGAATGATGGACAACATCCTGCGTGGACTAAAATGGAAGATATGCTTGTGTTACCTCGATGATATCGTGGTCTTCGCCCCTAACTTTGACACACACTTACGTCGGCTTCAGCACGTCCTTACTTGCTTAACTAACGCCGGTTTGCAATTAAACCTCAAAAAATGTCGATTTGCCATGCGTCAACTGAACATTTTGGGCCACGTTGTTTCCAAGGAAGGCATCCTCCCGGATCCTGAGAAATTGCGAGCTGTTACGGCGTTTCCTAAACCTGCCACCATCAAAGAACTTCGAAGTTTCATCGGCTTGTGTTCGTATTTCCGGCGATTCGTCCGAAACTTCGCGTCTATTATATCACCTCTCACGCAACTTCTCAGCAGCTGTAAAGACCTCTTATCGTGGTCCCCTGCCTGCGACGAGGCTTTCAGCACCTTGCGACGGCTTCTCACGACGCCACCCATTCTACGTCATTTCGATCCTGAAGCTCCAACTGAAATCCACACCGACGCCAGTGGTGTAGGCCTGGGTGCTGTGCTCGCACAGCGTAAACCGGAACATCAGGAATACGTCGTGGCATACGCTAGTCGCACACTTACCAAGGCTGAGAGCAACTACAGCGTCACAGAGAAGGAGTGCTTGGCCATTGTGTGGGCCCTTGGAAAGTTTCGCCCATATCTATATGGTCGTTCTTTTGACGTCGTGACCGACCATCACGCGCTGTGCTGGCTTTCGACGTTAAAAGACCCATCTGGCCGCCTCGCTCGCTGGGCGTTGAAAATTCAAGATTACGACATACGCGTGGTTTATCGCTCAGGACGGAAGCATGCTGACGCCGACGCCCTTTCCCGTTCCCCCCTGTCCCAGAATGCCACAGCTGACTCAGCTTGCGATTCCACATTGTCATCGCTTGACTTTGACACCATTGCTATCGAACAACGCAATGACCCGTGGACTGCGTCTCTCCTCAATCATCTCTCCGACACTTCTGAACTCCCAAAGACGCGAACGCTTCGGCGCCAAGTTCCACACTTCTCGATACGCGACACGCTTCTCTATCGACGTAACTACGCACCAGAGGGACGCAAGTGGCTGCTCGTCGTTCCACGAACCCTGAGGTCGCAGATTTGTTCCTGTTTTCACGCTGACCCACAATGTGGCCACGCAGGAGTCTTCAAGACCTACGAAAGGCTTCGACATCGCTACTACTGGCGTGGCATGTATACCTTCGTCCGCAACTTCGTCCGCTCTTGTGCCGAATGTCAGCGCCGAAAATCTCCACCACACGCCTCCGCCGGTGAACTGCAGCCTTTACCATGCCCTTCCCGACCCTTCGAACGGGTTGGAATAGATATTTATGGACCACTTCCATTGACTCCGACTGGCAACAGGTGGATAATAGTTGCTATCGACCACCTAACGCGCTATGCTGAGACCGCTGCTCTTAAAACGGCTACAGCACAGGAGGTTGCCACTTTCCTACTGCGTCATTTTGTGTTGCGTCATGGAGGCCCTCAAGAACTCCTCAGTGACCGCGGCCGCGCCTTCTTGTCCGAGGTCATTGAAAAATTGCTCGCTGAGTGTGCTATTGTACATCGCACATGTACCGCTTACCACCCACAAACCAATGGGGCTACCGAGCGCTTTAATCGTACTCTCGGTGACATGCTATCTATGTATGTGACGCCTGACCACTCTAACTGGGACTTAGTTCTCCCATTCATTACATACGCCTATAATACGGCAACGCAAGCGACAACAGGCTTCTCCCCTTTTTACCTCCTCTACGGCCGTCACCCCTCCCACACCATTGACACCATTTTGCCCTATCGACCAGACGCGTCCGAGTGCCTACCGATCTTGGACGCCGCCAGACACGCAGAAGAATGCCGCCAGTTAGCTCGTCGCTTTACCTGCGATGACCAAAACAGGCAAAAAGCAATTCATGATGCCCAGACCTCAACTCCCGTTTTTCTTCCGGGTTCTCTTGTATGGCTGTCAGTGCCGCATCGCACACCTGGGCATTCTTCCAAACTTATGCCAAAGTACGATGGGCCATATCGTATTGTCGAACAAACTTCGCCAGTAAACTACCTCATTGAGCCTCTTACGCCACCATCAGACTTGCGACGTCGCAACCGCGAGGTTGTACACGTCCAGAGGCTCAAGCAATACCACGGTTCAACGCCGCCTGCCCGGGACTAAGTCGCCAGGATGGCTCCTTTTTTCTCCGTGGGGCCATTGTAAAGAAGAGGAAGTACTCCGGCGCAGAGGCAGCAGCATCGAGTGTGCAGCAGCGGCTCGAGCTCGGAAATTGCGGCTGGTGCATCGCCTTCCAAGCCTTCCAAGCGTCAACCTTTCTGCTTAATAAATCTCCTTTATAATATATATATATTTATATATATATATGTATAAAAGGGAAATAAGGGGTTGTTTTTTTTGTGTTTTGACACAATATTAATGAGATCTAACAGACAATAATGCAATGGAATGTATAGGGGAAGTTATTAGAACCAATGTCAAGTAAATAAGAAGAAAAGTGGGTGAAAAATAACTTGCCGGCCATGAGCAGGAATCGAACCTATGACCTCCGAATAACGCGTTCGATGCTCTACCACTGAGCTATCATGGCGGCAAGACACACACATAAATTATATATATATATATATATATATATCTGTCCTAAAGAAGTACATGCGCCTCCATCGTGCAGCATTGCCAAGGCCCCACTCGTTCGGCTTCATGATTCGGTTCGCTGCGGTGCCGGCCTCGGCCTCTGGATGGTTCTTCACGCTACCTCAATGCTACCAACGATAACGTCCATAAAAACTAATAAACCTCTTCACACTTGGAGGAGGGCGCTTTTCATCCACGTTGCTACACTTTGGAGCTGCGACGCCGGACGCTTCTGTGCGTCATCAGCGCCTGCACTCTATCGCGGAGTGCAGGCGCCGATGTGGAGTGCAGGCGCCGAAGCTGACAAAGTGGAGTGCAATCCATCGGGGCCTGCACTCCACTTTGTCAGCTTCCCTGGGCATCCTCTACGGGACCCAAAGGTGCAGGTGGGACTGACGTGGAAGACTGGCTTGAATACTATGAACATGTGAGCACTGATAATAAGTGGGATAAACCTGACAAGATGGGCCACGTCATCTTCTATCTCACTGGCATGGTTGAATTCTGGTGCAACAACCACAAACAGAATATCCCCACATGGAGTGTTTTGAAGACGTCCTGTTCTGAAGCATTTGGTCACCCGGATGTCCATAAGCAGCACGCAGAACAGCACTTGCGCGTCCGCTTTTAGCAGACTGACGAAAGCTTCGCCAGCTATATTGAGGACGTCGTCGAAATTCGTCAACGTTCCAAGGACACCATGGCCGACGCTGACAAGATCAAACACATGCTGAAGGCCATGGACGATGGCGCATTCCAAATGTTCTTGGCTAAAAATCCGAGCCCAGTTTTAAAAGTCGTCAGCTTGTGTCAAAGCTACGACAAGCTGAAAACCAACGCACCTTGACTCGGCAACCTCCGCCGGGTGGCGAGTCACTATGTAGTCTCGACAGCATGCCTGACCATAAACATTGCTTCAGCAAGTACGAAACTTCATCCGTGAGGACGTCATCCCCCAACTTTCCCTAATTTCACTTCTCACGAGTCCGCCACGCTTGTACTTGCCCGCTCCACACTCCTATCTCGGGAAAGGTTGCCCAAGCTCATTGTTCTTTGTGCAACAGTAGCCGCCTCCATCCCGCCCTGTTCACTATATCCGTGTGCCACACCGCCAGTAGGTGCTCCTGTCATTTACCCACCAGCCGTGCAGCCTGTGGCTGCGGACCAGTCTGTGGCCATTCCTGCCGCCTATCTGCATGCCATGCAGCCTGTGGCGGCACTCCTCACAAATGCGGACGCTGTGCGTAGGCTTCCGCAACCACCTTACACCACGCGCTCATAGCTCGCGCAAACATCTGCTTATACTGCACCTTGGGCAGCACCAACAATCGCCAGTCCTTGGAGGACGCCTGATAACTGACCGATTTGCTACAGTTGCTTCATTCGTGCACATGTCGCCCGCTACTGCCGCCACCGAATTCAAACGTTCGGCGACTATGTCCGGTCATCGCAACCCGGCAGCCTACCCTTCACTCAATACGGGCCAGTCCTGTCACCACGCTTTGCTCCTATTCACCTCCCTAACTTCCAGTCACAATGCGTACCATCTCCCCGTCGGCAATTACCCTTACCCATGCGTCATCGGCTCAGACCCTCCGAATAGTAAAATTAACCACCGCAGTTCAAGAGGCAAGAACTGTACCATTTTTGAACTTTCCAAGCCCTCACTCTTCCCCTGCTAACGTGGTCACGGAACTATTGAAGACTATAGTACTTTTGCACTTTTGGATGCTGGCGCCACTGTTTCTGTCATAGCCGCTAAACTCTGCATTTTATTACGTAAGCTAATTACGCCACTGTCACGACTCTCACGCCACACCGCGAACGCACCGCAAGTGGTGCCTCTCGCAGCCTGCACACTAAGAGCGTTTTTCGAAGGCAATGTTTACATCATGGAGTTGATTGTCTTTTCTGTCTGACGTTATCCTCGGTTGGAAATTAATATATTGCCATGATTGACTGTGCACATGCTTCAGTGGAGTTTTCACCTTTGTGTGACGCCCCATTATTCGACACTCTTCATCAGCGGCCTAAGTTTCTCGTTTCTGAAGATACCAACAATCCGCCTGGAACTTTCGCACTTGTTCTCGTTTCATACAACGCCTACACTGAAGCTTATCTCCTTTTCATGCCTTGCGATGTCTTCACGAGACGTCGAGCTGTGCCGCAACTTTCGCAGTGATTGATATCACCATCGAAAGAAGCAATATATTCGTTTTCGATCGCCTTTCCGCACTGGTCGCTTTGCTGGCTGGAGATTGTCTCGGCTGCTTGGAAGACCTCGCGTCTTCGTCTTTTTTTGATGTACCGGATGACTACTGCGAAAAGCAAAGGCCCTGCTGGCACTCCGCGAGTCGTCCAGGAATACGTTTCCCGGCAACATTGCCGATACCCTCACTCCCACCGAACATGCCGACCTATTTGATCTTCTGCACGAGTTCCAGAATTCTGTCAACGAGTCGTAACATCAACTGGGCCGCACGTCGTGAGTCAAACGTCACGTTGACACCGGTATACGCTAGACAGTGCGTCAAGTATCATACCGCGTCTCCGTTGAAGAGCGCCGCGTCATTATTGACCTAGTCAAGGATATGCTTCGTAGAGATGTTATTTGACAGATAATACCCTCCACCACACATAAACCTCACAGACCTGAGGCTCTGACTATCAGGCTTATTCAGGTCAGGGCGTACCCTAACCCCACGCTCTTTGAGAAGTTTTATCCCGAAATACAACCAACTAATACATGCTCCTTTTGCGGTGATATAGCTAACTTGGAATATAAGCTCTGGCGGTGCCCCGCGTTACGCTGTAAGGAAGTCATCACGCCGTCCAAATGAGAGGGTGCTATTACGAGCTCCGTACTCGCCAAGAGTTATGGACAGTCCAGCGGGCGCAGAGACAGCCTTTCAAGTCCAGAGACTTGGTCTTTCTGTACCGAGGTGGGAACGGCCCGCAACGTGCTAAAGCGTTTTCCGAAGGACCAAATAAAGTTTATCCATCCATCCATCTCACAGTCGCTGGGTGGCTACTGTCGTCCTGGTGATTAAGAAAGAAGGACAAATCCGCTTTTGCGTGGACTACCATCATTTGAATAGGTTAACCCGCAAGAATGTTTATACTTTGCCGCGCATTGAGGACGCCATTTACACCCTTTACGGAGCGGAATTTTTCTCGTCGCTAGATTTGTGGTCAGGCTACTTGCAAGTCCTAATGGCTTAGGCCGATCGCCAAAAAAACTGCATTTATTGTACCTGACGGGCTATACGACTATAACGTCATGCTCTTTAGGCATTGTTACGCGTCTGCCACGTTTAAATCACCCCGCCGCGGTGGTCTAGTGGTTAAGGTACTCGGCTGTTGACCCACACGTCACAGGATCATATCCCGGCTGCGGCGGCTGCATTTTCGTTTGAGGCGAAAGTGCTGTAGGCCCGTGTGCTTAAATTTGGGTGCAAGTTAAAGAAAACCAGGTGGTAGAAATTTCCGTAGTCCTCCACTACGGCATCTCTCATAATCCTATGGTGGTTTTGTGACGTTAAACCTCACAAATCAATCAATCATTGCTTTTGAATTACTTATGGATAGTACGCTACGTGGCATTAAGTGTACTATGTGGCTTGTTTACCTGGACAATGCCGTGATCTTCTCGCAAGATTTTCTAACGTACATCCCCTGACTCGGGCACGTTTTGACTTGTCTGGCCAACGCTGGCATACAGCTTAACCTAAAAAATGCCGCTTTGCTGCACGGGATATTTTCAACCTAGGCCACATAGTGTCCAAGCATGGCGTATTACCTAATCCTGCAAAACTTCGTGCAGTCGCAGAATTTCCCAAGCGGACGACTATGAAGAAACCTCGCAGTTTCCTAGGACTGTGCTCCTATTTTCGGCGCTTTGTTCGCAAGTTTACATCTATTATATCAGCGCCAATCAAGCTGCTTCGCGGAGACCTGAATATCTCCTCCTGGTCCCCTGCATGTGACGCTGCCTTCACTACTCTGTGCTGTCTGCTCACCTCCTTACTTATTTGCAACTTTCAATGACTTCAGGGGGCGCCACAAGAATACCAAAATGACTGTTGATGCGGTGTACCCATTGATGCGCGGAGCCTTCGTCACAGATGTTGTCACAGCGTGGATGCCGCTGCTTTCGGCTAGATTAACGTTCCATGGCTATAAATTCTTATGAAAGAAGCGGCTCATGCTGTATTGCTTAAAGTGGCAGCATGTGGTGTGATATTTCACTGGATTTGACGTCCGACGCGCACGTGTAGCGGCGCGTTCGGTGTCATTCCATCGCAATGCGTTGCCAGATGGCCCATTTAGTGTGCGTCAAAATCGGCACATTTTTGTCATCCGCTTGATCTGGCGATCTGGGGCCGTATATCAACAACAGCAAACAGCAAGGGAGACAGGTGACGTAGAGCCGCTTGTGCTACTGGTTGTTTCTTTAGCACTTCGATCATTTTGACGGAAGATGCCAGCTTAATTTACCAGCTTTATGCCAGCGAAGATCACTTACAATTGGTTTATTACGCAAACAGCTTAATGCAATAAACTGCTGTTCCAGTGTGACACTTATTCAAAACAGCACCGGCTAACAAGCTATACGAGTGAGATCGGGAACCACAATGCTTGAGCATTTCTCAGATAAACATGTGGCACCGCAGGCCATCTCGCCCAGCCGGCTTCCTTTGCTTCGATCTTCATATTGATGTTGTGGAGAAAAGTGCTTGCGTATCTCGACGCGCGCATAAGTTCGAAAATGTCAATCACTTTGCTGAAACAGTGCGCCCTAGACAGGCTCTCGCTCAATCGCGGATGGCGGCGGCGTCTGCCCAACATGCTGTGCAACTTACACATGCAGCTCGCATGTGCCAGTTGCAACGAGCTGTTACGTGTTTTTACTTGCGAAAGCATAGTTGTATTTAGGATATTATTGTAAACTCTCCCAGCCACCAAAAAGAAATAAAATAAGGCACTTGCCAGTTGTGTTTTAGGATTACCTACCAAGGTAGCACAACACGCTAAGTTCAGTGCTGCTAAGTTTGGTGGCACGGGCTCGATGACACAAGCTCGAAAGAGTAACCACGTTTTAAGATTCACGAGGACTTTAAAGACCCCACGTGGTCGAAATTAATCCCGAATTTCTTACTACAACGTCTCATCACTCATCATGTCATGGTTTTTGTAAATAGAAGTTAAGCAATACTTTTGCGTCCCAGAAGTGAGCCGACGTCAAGTGCACGCCGGGAACCACATTGTTATTTTGACAAGTTTAAATATGCTCAGTTTGATAGCCCATGACTTTCTCTGTCGCCAGCAGAAAAAAAAAAACTAGCTCACGACGCCTTTCACGGTGCAGTTAGAGCATTGCAGCCCGCAGCACATGTGATTGTTTTTGTATAATTTGCCCGGTCAAAGTGGAGATGTGATGGCAAAAATGATTACAGGACAGTAAGGTATTCAGGACAAACTCCAAGTGGGATATTGCAAACGTGGACTCTTCTCGTGATGACAGCAATAAAAAAATAAAACAATGAGAGGACGTATTAGAATTATTCTGGATTTTATCAATAATTAAAGACGAAAAGCAAATGTTCCTTCTGCCTCCTAACACATTCCACAAAAACAAAATAAATCAATAATAATATGAAATGATTGTCAATGCTCAGGTACTGTCAAACTGAAACGGATAAAATGAATGTAAAAGAAAAACATATGTAAAAAAACAATTCATGGAAGAAAAAAAGAACGAAAAAAAGGGAGGGGGGAGAAGTTTTGTTTGTTTGTTTGTTTTCTTTGATAAATGGCACGTACCCACTTTGGGGGATTGGCCAAGAA